AGGTTCGTTTTGAAGGAGACGGGTAAGATCCTCCAACTTCCATGGAAATTGGCTCACTGATGCGAATAATCGCGAGTCGGTCCTTTAAATTGCCATTCTCCTCCAGCTGCTGAAGTGCTGCAAGGGCTTCGGATGATGAGTTTGCCATATTGATAGGGTTTGGTTATCGGAAACCTGTCTATGAAAAGGGAAACCGACGTGGCATGCGATTGCTAGAGAGCTTGGAGGGGCCGAGTCCACCGGCATAACATTTGCGGGACAGTAAACAGCCCTATCAAAGGCGGTCAGTCCAACTTTTGGAAGGCGCTTTCATCTTCGCCTCTCTTGCTTCTCTTTCAACTGAACAAGATTCCACCTTTATTTTATTTAATATGGCCTAGCGTATATACTTGCTATTTCTCTGGCTTCCTCGCTATCCTTGGCACACTCCTTCGACACTCTCAGAATCTTGCGATCTACGGCTCATCTGTATCATGGACGACGATTATGTTGCGCAGCTCTTGGCCAAGGAGGCTAAGGAGAGTTCTATAAAGTATGCGTCTCAGGGAATGAGTGCTTTTATGCCTTCGAGGTTTGTTTGCTCCCATGGGCTGCAGTTTGCACAAGTACAAGACTAACAAACACCTGCAGGCCGACAAGCAATGCCCCAAAACCCAATACCCGCTTCCTACGCAATCTCATCAAAGTAACAGACAATCATAACACTGCTCTTAAGCTCAAAGAGGAAAGAGAAGCACGGGAGCGTATGCGCCAACTAAGATATCAGGCCTCGGGTACTTCAAGTGCTTTGGCTCCAACACCAACAGACCGTTCTTCCAAACGATCTGATGATCGGAGTGAACTGCGGGGATCAAGAGACCACCGGAGAGGAGATCGAGAAGATCGCAATCGTTCACATCGAAAAAGAACTCGAAGTCGCTCCCCTTCAGCAGAACGAGACCGGTCGCGGAGGCATCGACGAAGAAACGAAGAGTATGACGGAATTGGAGAGAGGGACAAAGACCGCGGTGAACATCGACGCGAACACAGGGATCACGAGTCATCTAGAAGAGATCGACGAGACAGAGATAAGGAACACACCAAACGGCGACGTGAGCGATCATACTCGAGGTCTCCCAACCGTTCTCCGCACAGGGACCGAAGTACCGACCGTCATCGCCATCGAAGACAAAAACGCCAATCTGGACATTCCACTCGCTCCCTTTCCCGTTCCCGCTCGCCAGAGTCGTACAAATCTCGGCGGTCAAAGCGGGAAGATGCATCGCCACATAGCTCCCACCGTTCTCACCTTAAAACCAGCGTGCGGCATAAACAAGTGTCTCCGTTGTCTACTATATCTACACACCAAAGCGAGATGGGCAACGAATCCGATCCCCTAGAAGACCTTGTCGGACCACTTCCTCCTCGTCAAAACGAAGCACCTATCCGCTCGCGCGGGCGAGGTGCCTATAAACACAATATGAGCAATATCGATGCTCACTTTGCACCCAGCTACGACCCGGCTACAGATGTGCATCTAGATGAAGACAAAATACACTTCATGGGCCAGGAATCCTCTCGTCGTCCTGTCGCGGGGCTCATGACAAAAGACGATGACTGGGACATGGCAATGGAGGCGCTGCGCGATCGTGAGCGCTGGAGGAATAAGGGCGAGGAAAGGCTACGTACTGCAGGAATCGACGAGGCAGTTATTGATAAATGGAAGAATAACACCGCTTTTGCGGGCGTCGACGGAGAAGGCAACCCGGAGGATGTACAATGGTCGAAGAAAGGTGAAGGGCGGGAATGGGATCGCGGCAAGTTCGTGGATGACGATGGTCATATTGATATTCGGGCTGCTTGGTAGTGTCTCTTACTAGATGTTTTTAATTGGCGTTCGCGAACTGCTATGGATGATACCAAGGTATATATTATAACTTTTTATTCCTTTATTTATTTTAGCTTACACATCATTCATTGATATTTTCCAAGGTTGGTTTTTCTTGTTTTATTATAAATATAGTAGAAGAGTATAAGATTCTTCAATAATTCAATATTTTACAGTTATTGCCTTTAGGTGATGATAAATATATTTCGTCAGGACAATAGCATGAAACCTCAATCAGAAGGGTTGATTATCTATACTACGGAGTAAGCAACTAATGTTTCTAAATAAACAGCATGACAATAACTAATGATTAATAATTAATACTTATCTTCCAAGGTTGTTATTGTAAAAAGTGTTGATGTCCAATTATATACGTAAATTGAACTTGACCGGACGGTTCCGCGGCTTTGTCAAAGTGCGGAAATCCCCCGGGGCCCGCAGATTTGCAAGATGATGGTACTCCAGCGTTAACTGACGACATTTTTAATATGATAAAGATTGGTCAACGCTTATTATTTGAGACATTTGCGTTACATTATTTGCATCGATTTTCAACCCCACTAAGCAAAACGTTATATACCACATATACCTGTAGTCTCGCACCTATTTAGTTACATACCCACTACCCTTTGATCTCCCTCAACAACCCCAATCTACTCACAATGTCAGACCCATCCGCCTACTCATACCCATCTCCATTGGAGGGGTACGAAAACCTCGAGCCACTGTCCGAGTAAGTGTTCCCCGCAGCCACATCGCACGCAAGATACTTATTTTCCGTTGTAGCGAGCGCGCCGAAGACGGCAAGTCATTAAAGAACCCCCAAAATGGCGAGTTGAGTAAAGCCTACTCGGAATTTCCCGATCCTCTTTCTAAAGGCCGGGAGGGAGGCTTCGACGTCCACATCTATCATTTCCAAGTACGTGCCGCCATCACCCATCCCGGACCACAAACCCAAGGCACAAACAAAGCTAACGCATCGATTAGAATAACCCCGAACAAGCCGCATTTGCCAAAGCGCTCTGGGAACGAATTAGACGAGAATGTAAGTAACACATCCCTCTAGCCCAGGAACTACATCGTCTGCCCGTCTACTGCGGGGTTGAATTGCCCATTTCAATTGATCACTTGCTTACAATTTTAAACAGTCCCCGAGCTTCGAATTTATACTTTCTTCGACCGGCCTATTGGTCCTCACCCAGTAGCAATGTTCGAAGTGAATTTATTCACACCTGCGCAGTTTGGAGCTTTCATTCCTTGGTTGGTTATCAATCGGGGTCCGCTCAGTGCTCTCGTTCATCCCAATACAGTGGCATCAGAGGATGAGCGCAATCATACCCAACGTGCGACTTGGCTTGGTGATCGGATTCCGTTGGATTTGGGAATTTTTAAGAAGAAGAACTGATCAAAACGGGAGGAAGAGGACGTTGAGAAGGTGAAGCTGGAGAGGCTATAGGATTCATGCATTATTTTGTCAAGGTACAATAATTTCCAATCAATGATGAGTTATATGAAGAAAAGTCCAGTTCACTACATGGTACGGATTATTTGGGCCTTTCTTGCTTGGCATCCTCTGCATCTACGCACGAGTGTGGTTCCCTACATTCCACGTCCGTACTAAGTAGGTTGGGGAAGAATTCGACTTCAAATACTAGTAGTCAGTTCGATTCCAACTATTCTCTTGTTCATGCGATACAAGAGAAGATATCGCCACTGACTTGGGGAAAGATATTGAAATATATTCTTAATTTGGTGACCGACGAGCTGTTAGTATCCATGGTTTGGTCTCGGTTAGTCCGAGATGCTTCATAGTTAAGCTTCATGGTACGACGGAAAAGGCTAACTACGCTAACAAAAAGTATGATACGTAAAGCAAATAGATAGAATTAATAGAATAAATATCCAAAGCTAACGTTGTAGTCTTGTATATAGTCAAATAAAATAAATTCTGAAGTCTTGTAGTGAGTGGATTTCATATCGAACGCCTTACTATAATTTTATTGTATAACCTACTACTCTATTTCATCTGAAGACATGAATAGATATGACTGCAAGCCTCCAACACGGTAAAGAGCAAACGCCACAACGTATTATGTCGAGGAATGTCAACGGCTGGTACAAATACGCGATGCTATTGGTGTATCTCACCGCTCTATACCTACAGATAAACAGAGGAGCGCCGTGCACATATTAGGGTTCCTAAGACAAATAGGAATCACAAATGACAATTTCCATAGGAAGACTACATCACTACAGCTCGACCTAATTCGACCCCATCCCGAACTTTGTGTTGTGACGGCTCCACAGGCAGGTGACATCGTCAGCCCAACAACAATTTAGAGCAATGATTTTCAGCCATGAGATCTGACACGCAGATCACACTATTATTGTGACTGGCAAGCAATAAATTGTGACGGTTTCTACTGCGCCCACCTGTTCATGGGACACCCGATATAAGACTTACATTCCTCGGGGTTGCATAATGCATACACTTTATGCCGGAGGATAAAGGATATAGTCAGGGAACCTTCTAACAATCCCACCCTATTGCAGAGAAAATACCACCTGAGTACATCTTGGGTTTTCTATGGCCCTGCCTTCTTGTCTAAGTTTGAAAATCGAACTCGAGCTGCTGTGATGGGACACTAGTATGATCCCCATCGAGGAGACCAGTCACCTTGAGGAATCCATGGTGTTGTTTGAATAATAAAAGACCTTGTGATTACACACACCCACTACTTGGAATTTAGTTTAACCTGCTCTTCGCCCACGGTATATCTCCCAATCCCATCCGAATGACGAAGTCATTCCGACTCATGCTCATAAAATCCAGATAAAACATTGTTATAAGGTAACAAGACTTGATTATTTCGCTTAAAGGGATTAAAAGGGTGCTCGTCGCTCTTCAGTACTTGAGAACTGTCACACAAGATGCGTTTTTTTATATCGCTGGCACTAGCTTGTCTATCTTCAACCCAACAAGTCTGGGCATCACCCAACGACAGGGCTACATCTAACGTCCCACCATATGTCTTGGAATACGGTATACTGTCTTAAATCTATATTTCTGATATTGCCTTACTTATTCGACTTTACAGCACCCCTGGTCTGGCTCCATAGCCAGGAAACATACATGCCAAGCGATATCCAGCAGCAGGTCGATCATACCAGACCCAATGTCAACTGGACAACTATTGAGGGAGTGGAGTCACCACTAAACTTAGATAACCTTGACACGCTCAATTCCATGGGCAATACAAGCGTCTACCTAACCTCTCTCGAGGGCATCGAAGCCGATCCAGAACCAGCCTGGTTCCGGGGTATCAGACCAGACTCACAGGGGCGAATAGGTAATGGTACAGGGAGTGTCATTGTTATCGCAGATCGCGGCAATGGAACAGTTGATGCATTTTACTTTTATTTCTACGCGTGAGTTCAGCTGTATCCCAAGTCTAACTTTCGTACTAACACGATCCTAGATTCAACAAAGGCGGCAGAGTCCTAGGCTTAGAATTCGGCGACCACATCGGAGACTGGTTAGTGTGAAGAACACTGTGTAGAGCTCCTCTGGCTAAAGAAAAAAACAATCAGGGAACATAACATGATCCGCTTCGTGAACGGCACACCCGACGCAATATGGTATAGCCAGCATGCTAGCGGACAGGCATTTACCTACGCGGCCGTTGAAAAGAAGGATAAGCGGCCGTATGTCTACTCCGCGAGAGGCACGCATGCAAACTACGCAATTGCAGGGTAAACACAGAAAATCTTTAGAAATATGTTGGTGGAATGTCAATACTGATACAATATCCAGAAAACACGACCACACCATCCCGGGCTTCAACCTCCCTGCAGGGTTTTTGATGGACTATACAGGCCGCGGTGTGCTGTGGGATCCCCTACTAAATGTATACACTTACAACTACGATAAAGCAACAGCTGCGTTCAAGGCTGTGAACTCCAAAGATCCGGTGGCGTGGTTGGATTTCAATGGGAGATGGGGTGATGACCAGCCGCCTAATGAGCCTTCGATCTTTGGTGAGGCTAAAAATGTTGCTGGTCCGAATGGTCCTAAGTTCAAGGGGTTGGATAGGGAGCTGGTGTGTCCTTCTAAGCCGTGCTTTGTGCTTCCGTTTAGGATTTTTTCTGAGGATGCGACTTCGTGAGAGTTGGGGGTTGGTTGTTGGTGGATGGCGGGTATATTGTAAGGATCATGATATAGGGGAATATGGTTTGGTATAGACTGATAAGAGTAGAAAGAATGTTGTTTAAATTGAGAGCTTGCTTGTGATATTCCCTTGGTAAAAATTAAAATGCATATTTCAGCTTGGTTCAAACTGGAGATCTTCCCTTACGCCGAACAGTAAAAAGCAAAGCATAGTACATTGAAAATTCCTGAATCAGTTGAAGGGAGTTTTGATTCCTCTTGTTATTCTTGTCCCCGGATCCCTTTTACCGTTCTCAGAAAGAAAGTTCCTGCACGCAAGGGAAATCCACCCCCACTTTTGATCCACTTCGTTCTCCAGGTGAGTAAGGGCGATATTTTTTTTAACGAGTACAAGAGTATATGTACATACAACATACTCCGTACTGCATACTGCCACGAGGAAATGATATAGTTTCGGATGTACTATATGCAAGGCAAATAAAGACTTTGACTGGAATTGCCGAAGAAAATAGTTCATCGGGTTCCAGCCCTGGAGCCCAGTCCCGCGTGCCCCACCCCCGTCACAGTTGGCCTGGAGGAGCTCTCGTGTTTGGGCTGAGATCTTAAATTGCCGTGTTTCAGAAATTGAGCTAGCTCGTATTGGAGATGCCTAGGTGGCTCGGGTTCGATATGGTTATTAAACGGTGCAGTTAGTTTGATGAGGTGCATACGATGGCGGCTTTGCGAGCAATTGTTCTAGAGCCGATGGCTTCACCCTAGGGACAGGAGAGGTTAGCTTTAGTCGGTTAGTTGCTCCGTATAATGTCCAATTTCAGCTGAGGTTGGGACTAATTGGGGCATAATCTGCATAGATGGTGCAAACAAGACAAACATGTCCTTGGGTACTACTTTTGTACTCTATACCTAGTTATTATCTATTATATACGGAATGCCTCTTACTATGTATGTTGTACTCCATGTAATTTATAATATCCGGATGAACATTGCCTCCAATTTGAGCGATATATCAGATTGTTTCGTATCTCTTAAGATTACAAGTGGAGACCTTTCAACGGCCCATAGTGCACGTTCCAGATTCCCCTCTTAGCCACGAGGGGAGAACGTGCTTACCATGTGTATTCGGGTAGCCGGATTTAATCCATGGATATTCAATATCATGATACCCCTACTTTGTACTCCGTACAGCTGAAAACGAGAATCCAAACATCCCGTCTATCCTTAGCTCCAATTGGCGGACGAACCGGCTTTCGGTGACCAACGATCCAAGCTCCAATGTGGAGAACAGCCCTGGACCAAAAGAGTTCTGTGACTTTTTTTGTTTTGTTTTTTTTTTTTTACCCCTGAATGGTCTTCTGATGGCCTTTTCTATATCCATCAGATTTCGATCTTCCCCTTAGTATTGTAAAATAGTCAAATTAAATCCTTCTCTTTCCCACACCCTTCTTTTCATCTTTCTCCAAGCGCCGCTGTTGCTGGACGCTGTGAGCAGGCCTGTTTTCAATTAAAAAAATAAAAACAAAAAACAACCCCCTCCCTACCCCCCAAACAGAGGAACTTTGAACTTTGAACTTTGTTCAAGTCCCAATTTCAATTCCTCCCCTTCACCCACTGGTTGGGAAACTTCTATCTTGATTGATACCACTCTCGCTTATTCCCTTTTCATATATTTGCTGTCGCAAACGCTTTCGTTTTTTTTGAGATATCTGATCCCCGAATTGGCAATTGGATTGAATCCCACTTTTGTCCAGTTTCAGAGCAGTTTTGAATTGCTCCATCTCCACCTGATCTCAGCACTATCTGCAGTATTAGCGCTGTTGAACTCCGATCATATCATTTTATTGGTGAGTGGCGGTTCCCAAGGTTCCATACCCCTGACGTCTGGTGAGGGGTTCTGGCAATATCGGGATTTCCTGGATAGAGCATGGCCCCAGAACTGGTGATCAGAAGAGAAAATAGAAGAGAGAAAGAGAACAGAAAAGGAGAGAAAAGAAAAGAAAAGAAGAAAAGAACCTAATGAGGAAAGAAGAGAACAGACAAACATCCTGAAATGGCAACTACGCGCTTAGGACCTGAAACAGACATCAACCGTCGCACCTCCCTCGGATTCCTTCGTCGTTCTAAATCCACCGAACCCCTAGGCGAACACAAATCTTCCGGTTCCCGCAAAAAGATGTCCAAAACTCAAGCCATGGAAGATGAGATGCGTCGTCAGCGCGAGTCTTATGCTCCCAAAGTCCCTCCCCGCTTGCCTGATCTTTCCCCCGCCCCGCAACTGGAAACCTTTGGAGGTGAGGAACGTGACAAGTTCCCCGACCCAATCCCAATTCGCCCACAGTCTGGAGTTGTCGCATCACCCTCTATGTCTGGTTCAATCAACAGCGTCGATCCCTATGGGCGCACCGAGAGCATGACCCACCGTGGCCGATATAGCTATGCTAGTAGTGCTGCCAGCACTGTGAACAGTCCCCGCCGCGTGCGCCGTCGCAAGGACCCCACCTCATACAAGTGAGTCGCTAGGATGTAATATCAACCTCAAACCAGACCAGCTAACAATGGGAACGTGTCTAGTGTGCTCGTCATCGGTGCTCGTAACTCGGGAAAAACCTCATTCATCAACTTCCTCCGCAGTGCCCTGACCATGCCTGCCCATAAGCATCCTTCGCGCACCCCTGAGGAGGTCGAAGAGCTTGAGCGCCAAACCTCAGCCTGGGAAGGATTTGCGTCGCAATACCTGGAAACGGAGATCGACGGAGAACGTGTCGGACTTACCCTGTGGGACTCTGTAGGCTTGGAGCGGAACATCGCAGATCTTCAGCTGCGTGGCGTGACAGGCTTCTTGGAGAGCAAGTTTGAGGAGACCCTCGCCGAGGAGATGAAGGTTATCCGCTCTCCCGGTGCCCGTGATACTCACATTCACTGCACTTTCCTACTTCTGGATCCTGTGCGCCTGGACGAGAACATCGCCATGGCTGAGCGTGCTGCCAATGGCACGTCCAAGGCCACTGATGCCCCGGTGGTTGGGATTCTGGACCAGAATCTGGATATCCAGGTCTTGCGCACGGTGCTAGGCAAGACCACTGTGGTGCCGGTTATCAGCAAGGCGGATACGATCACCTCCGCCCACATGAGCTACCTCCGCAAGGCAGTCTGGAGCAGCTTGAAGCAGGCCAATATTGACCCCCTTGAGATCTTGACATTGGAGGACCAGGAGGAAGAGTACTCCTCGTCGGAAAGTGCGGACGAAGATGAAATCCTAGAGCTTGACAAAGCCGAGTCGACTAAGACTGGGGATGCCAACGAAGCCAAAGAATCCGAGGACGCAAGCGAAAATGTCCCCAGCTCGCCATCCCAGCTCAGCCAGGGCACTCGCAGATCCAACACGTCGCAGGCCATCAACCAGCACGTTCCCTTCTCGATTCTGTCCCCGGACCCTCACTCGTTGGCAGCTGGAGACCAACCCGTCGGTCGCCGATTCCCTTGGGGCTTTGCAGATCCATATGACCCCGAGCACTGTGACTTTGTTCGCCTGAAGGACTCCGTCTTCTCCGATTGGCGTTCCGAGCTGCGGGAGGCCAGCCGCGTGGTCTGGTATGAGCGCTGGAGAACCAACCGCCTCAACCGCAATGGACAGCCGACGATGCCCGCCCAGAAGCAAACCTACGGTGGCCGTCAGGGACCTTATGATGGTCGTCGCACGCGATAAACGGGTCTCTCCCCCTTCCTTTCCCATTGCTTTCTCTTCCCGCACATACCCCCATTCTTCGCGGCCTGGCACCTCGCAAGGCTTCTTTTTATGTCATACCTGCTTTTTCCTTTCTCTTCTGACAAAATGTTTCGAAATCCGGAACCTGTACTAGTGCTGTTCATCTATTGTTTGCACGGTAATTTGATAGTTTATCTTGAATCCTAATTCCGAGAGAGTAAATATAGTAATGTAGTTATGTACAGAGTACCTCGACCCCTCAGCTTCATTTACAATCTGACATGCGCATTGGTCCGAGGTCTTCTGCGGCTGAAGCGCCGGTCAGCGACGATCGTGAGTTCAGCTGTAAGCCAATAAGAGCCGCTAATCCTTGGCTACATGAGTGAAGAATCACAGACTAGCTCTTCAGAAGTTGGCGCCGATGAATACGAGGTGCTATAAACTTCTCGCTTTGTCTCCTCTTTTCTTTTCTTTTTTGTTTTTCTCAATTCACTTCCACATGAGTAGAGAGAAGGCTTCATATCTATAAGTATAGAATGACCTAGCGGACATCGCACAAAGAACCCCCGGTCCAACTCTCCTCTTGTGTGACTAAAGACTTCTCAAAAAAAAAAAAAAATAAACCCGTTGGAAAACATACATATTGAATATCAAATCAACAAGACCACACCCCCATTGGACCAACCATGTCTCTCCAAGTGAATGACCCACGGTCGCGAACCCGATCCAAATCCCCTGGTCGCGAGCGCTCGCGGTCGCGGTCGCGCGACAGCCGAGTCCCCTCCCCCTCACCCTCCCCCTCCCATCGCTCCCGCTCCCCAGCCGTCGAAGCCCCAAGAAGCAAAGGTTACAATCCCGACGAAGAAGCCGAAATCGAGCGCCAATACAAGCTAATCAGTGAGCGCCGTCGCGAACCAAACAACGATGAGCCCCGCCCAGTCGTCTCGCGCGTCCCAAGAACCCCCCGCTATGATGTGGACCGCTCAGACTCGGACTCGGAGTCGAGACGTCACGACGCAGAAAGCGCAAGACGACGACGCGATGATCGCTATGAACACTCGGACGAGGAGCGCGGGTCTGCGGCGGCTTCGTCGCGGTCGCATCGACGTCGACCTTCGTCGCCAGACCGTGGAAGTCGTGTGAATCAACACGACTCAGACGACTCAGCTGATGATCTGGCTTACGGTGATGCGCCGGGAAGCCATCCTAGCTATGCGCGCCCGAATCGGTATAGCTATGCCCAGCCGACGCAGTTCGTCTCCGCTGCCCCGCGACAACCAGGCTACCCTGCCGGC